TAAGATTTTTTAGGGTTTATTTTTATTGTCAGAATTTTTTATCTAGAACATACTTTAAGGCCTATGAAATTTGGGGGTCTTCTTCATGGGTGGGGCCTAAAGCCCCTGTTTCAATTCCTATATTATTGGGCCAGTTCTGTGCATCGTTTCAACGGTTATTTTATGATATTCTTGCAAGCGATGTCTAGAAAAAGCCTATTTATCAGGATCAAGTAATCACTAAAGCAAAAACCTATGTGATGCCAGAAACCTATTATGGGCTATGTATTTGACTCATTTCCCAAAAAATTTTAAAATATTTAGAAAATATATACAAGGATGGTTTAAATTTTGTCACCAAATTGCAAAAATGCATATATGAATATACGAAAAAATATGAGTTATTTGAAACTTGGAATATATCGTTTGACGAGTATAATAATTGGATGAAGGCAACTTGGGTTTTGGGGGAGAAATGGGTCAAGATGTATATGAAGAAAATTTTTACAACAGGTATGAAGAGGATCCACCTTAGTGAGAGTTTGAATAAAAAATTGTGAAAGTACTTAAAATCATATCATAATATTACTCAATTCTTTTCCTACTTTGATAGAGTCGTAAATGATAAGCAATATTTGAAGTCGAAGAAAGAGCATTATGCTGGGCAAAAGTTGCCAAGAATAAAAATTCGAACACATGCATCCACATTGATTTATATGGGAAGGACTTGCACAAGGTTATTATTCCTTTGGAATTTGGAATGCCATTGTCATTCTTCTTGGCACTCTTTGTTGTAATTGCTCTGCGATTCCATTGTGCGAGCTATTGATTTATTTGAATAGTTGTTAGTTTTGTTTCTTTTGCAACCCCATGTGGTCATATTAGTTATTTCTTCGGTTAAGGGATCATTGGGAGCCTGTCCCAGATAAGTCTATTAATAAACTAGATTTTAACTTGAATTCGATTCGAATCTAAATTCGTTTAAGTAGATATGAATCAGATTTTCAATTCATTAATCCGTTCTGATCTGAATCCGATGAGAGTTGTCTAAACAGATTTGGATATAAATTTATTATAATCCAATCCGAATAAAAAAATTTATTATATAAATAAATTCACACATATTATACTTATACTAAAAAATAAGTAAAAATAGAGTGAATATCATAATGTATGACCCACTTTTTTTTGTTTCCCTCTCTTGTTTGATATTTCCTCTTACTTTATCTTTAAATTTTCACTTTTTTAATTCATTAACCTAATTCATATTATTAATTTTTTATGTACATGTATTTTTTGTGACAATCGGGTTGGGTTGGATTTTTAAATCAAGTATCCAAAAATTAACAAATTCAAATATGGATTAAATTTTTAAAGTCCGTTGGATAATTGGATTGGATCGAATCTAACAAAAAAACTTAATTAGATTTAAATTTGAATAATGTCAATCAGATATATATCCAATCAGTTAATACAATTGTTTCTGTCATTGATGGTCAACCATAAGCCTTTGCTGCCAAGAACCTTGTTGACCGGAATGTAGTTAAATAATGGATAAATTTCACAAACACTCGGCGGAAAATAGCCTAATTGTAGAGACACTTCCTATGGTTTCTGAAATATCATTGTCATCCATTGTCAGATTCTATCTTTAATGAAATAGACGGAAATTCAACATTTACAAAATTACTATTAACAAAAAACTCTTTTTACTCATTTACTCTTAATAAAACATTAAATTTCATTAATTTAAAATTAATTTTATTAAAATCAATTTTCAACTTCGTCAATTTCATCAGTTAATTTTATCAATTAACATTTACTTTCATTAATTCAAATATTAATTTCATCGCACTATCACTAATTTCATCTATTTAATGCCAAATTAATATCTAATTTTATCAAATTCATATTCAGTTTAATCAAATTAATATTTTAAACTTTAATTACATCAAATTAGTATTCAATTTATTTAATTTAAAATTTAGTTTTATCAAATTGAACTTCAATTTTATCAAATTAGAATTCAATTTAATCCAATTAACACCTATTTTATAATTTAATACCAATTAACCTCTTGGGTGCAATTAAAGGTTGATTTGAGAAAATTGAATATTTATTTGATAAAATTTAAGGTCAATTTTGTGTTAATTTGATTAAATTAATTAGAATTTGATATTAATTAATAAAATTGAATGACGATTAGGTGAATGTAATGTTAATTTTATGAAATTGTATATTAATTTGACAAGATTCAATGATAATTTTAAAAATTTGTGGTCATTATTTTAATTAATTTGTTTAAATTGAATATTAATTTGATTAAATTGATTAAAATGATGGAATTGTGAATCAGTTGCACAAGGTAACCCCTTCAATGAACTGAAGTACATGGGTTAACCTTAAGAGTGAGATACATCGGAGCCACGGATACAAGCTATTTGGTTTCTGATTTAGTAAGAATAAACCCGATGTTACCATTTGGATCTACAATCTAGATGGTGCAATAGTAAGTTTGGTTTTAATTTGTTGTCCTATGTTATGTAGTTGCTGCTTTTCTTATTGTGATTTGAACTAGACAACTTTGTATCGTACTTTTTGACATATTTTTGAATTGCAGGCATGCCAAAATTTAAATAGACTTAAGATCCAAATAAATACGACCTTGTCTACTCGAACCTGTGTAAGGTTCTAGAATCATGACTGTTTAGACGATTGTAATAAGACGTAAAGTTACCTCTATAATCTTTTTTATGCCTTGAGGATCAAGGACTTAAACAATTCCCAACTCGTAGCGTAATGAATTAGAATGTAGGAAAATAATTAGAATGTAAAGTAGTAGAGAAACTTAATTTGGCAGATGAAAAGATTACTGTACTGAACATTAAGGAAAAACGGTAAAGATCACCAGAGTAATAGATTACATATTAAATTAAAGTTGCTAAGAAGTAAAAATAAATAAGTAGTAGAGAGACTCTCTTTGTAGAACTGAGTAAATCATTGGGTTCAATTGTATAGGTCATAATTAACCTCATTTTTTTTATAGAAGAGTTATGATTAGTCCTCTATTTTTTATATATCAAATGTGATATAATTAATGTAACTATACTATTTCAACGTAATTGATTGTCCAGAAGAAAAATTTATGCCCCTGCTCCTGCCGACAGGTTGGAAGAGGAGTCTAGAGAAGCCTTTCTTCATAATTTTGGATTTTTTTATGTTCACAGCTTATTGTTTTTCATCGCAACGAAGGGCAAAATAGGAATGATAATTTTTAACATAACATGTTAACGATAAGAACTCAACATAAATGAGTGTGCTAAGGGTTGATTAATTTCTACAAATAATACCACTTGCTAACATGAATAGTAAATGGGTCGAGTAAGTATTAAACGCAACCAATTTGTTTAAGCAGTATTGTAGAAAGAAAATAAGTGATTATTCCTTCTTCTTTTTTTCTTATTTTGATCTAGTATTATATAAAAATCTTGTAGTTTTGTTACCATTTAAAAGGAGTGAATTTTTATTTTGTTAGATCCTTGTGTGGGTGGCGAAGTGCAATAATGGCAAACCACAGGGTAGGTTTGTGTTATTTCCCCATAGATTGAAGTAAAACTCTCTATAGATACCTTTGGACTGATTCTGATTTGTCTGTGTACAAGTATTACTTGTTAGCTGTAAGGTTGCGATGTTTCTTTGCCAATAAATAAATCTTGCGAAGTGTTTTTTAATGAAGAGTTGACATTGGTGGAGACTGAGTTTTGAATATGAAGAAATGTGAGAGATTAATTACCGTCATCTTTTTTCTTTGGTTTGTTCCGTAATGTTGGAGAAAGATTAAAAAGAAAACGTAGAATAAGAATTACTTGATTCGGGTGATATGTTCCGTTCACATAAATAGCTAAATAAAATTTTAAGGGATAACTCAAGTAATAACAGAGATATGTTGTAAGATTAAACGTCTTGAATTCGAATTTTGGTAACCTTTTGAGTTAGACCATTAGAAATTTATTCCTCATAAATACCTTAATCCCAGTGTGAATATCCTGCTTTTAACCGAACCGATGAAGGGATTAGTCGAGGTGGGTGTAAGTTGACCTGAATACCCCTAGCTAGGGGTGTTCAAATTTTCAATGAACCGCAATTTCCTACCCAACCCAATCCTACCCGACCTTATTGAACGGTTAGTCAAAAAAATGGTAGGAATGCTGAAGAGTTTTTAGTTGTCTAATTAAATAGGGTAAGAATGCAGAATAACCATTAATTTCCGTATTCCTACCCTACTCTACCCTCATTAATTTATATGTATAAACTAAAAACCCTAATTCCCTAACCATATGGTTTAAACTTAAAATAATTATTATTGTATTTGTACAACAATTACGATGGATTGATGTTTATACTTTATTGTGTTTTATTGTAATTGTTGTTGTAACTGTTTTATGTTTTAGTGTTGTTAGTTTATTGTGTTACTAAATTGGTGCATATTATTTAAATGAATTGTTAAAATGATCCAAAAATTAACAACTACAAAAATGTTCACCCGATTTTCTACCTAATTAATTTGGCCAGAAGTGGGGTATGAATACCACACTTAATCGGGTAGGGTACGTCAATAAAAAATTAGTCCGCAAAGTATCGGGTAGGAAAACAACAAATTATTCCGCAAAGGGCTTCATCCCGAGTGTTTTTTCCATCATCTTTAATTGATGGACCAATGATTTTCTTCATGCATCTGTTTGCATGTATGTGTTTTTCGACAATCTGAGAAAGTATCCCTAAAATATTATCTTTGTATCAAACATTCGATACATATAATTTAATGAAAAATACGCATAGCTTATCTCTAAACAAGCCTTATTGCCACATTTTACACACACTTTAGCACTACTAATTTTTTGGTAGGCCCTATGGCTTTTCAAATGTCTTTTGGTTTTGGGCTTATCTGATGGCAATTAGATCCATCTTTGCTTGTCCAGGGTTGCCTTATTTTCACCACACATGCCTTAATTTGCTTCCAATTACACCGGAAGTATGTTCCTCTCGCTTGTAAAAGCATGTGCTCTATTCCTCTGTGAATCAATCAAGCGACGAACCAAGAGCCTAACTGGAAGGTATGATTCTCCAAGTTCCCCCATCATTGGAAAGGCATGTGCCCCACGTCTCTGTGAATCAATGAAATGGCGTGCAATGGGTCTACCATGAAAGCCTGATTCTCCAAGTTCCCCCATCACTGTCCAACAAAACCATTGTAGCAATTCACCTGCTGAAAGCAAAATAAATGCTACATAGAGAACCGGCATGACAGAGTCTGGGAATAGAGTTGATGCTAGAGATGTCAATGACAAAAACCCAAACAACTCCATACCATAGCAAAGAATATTGGCACAAGTTGGAGAGACAAATCTCAGCTTTGATTTAGATAAAATGAAATATAGGAGCAAACTAGTAAGGGCAACTCCCATGGTTTTGGGATGGGTTTCAAATGGAGTTTCGTCCTTTCCTTGGTACTTCAATTGTTGGAGGTTGATAATAACCGCTACAATAAAGGCGAGAACTGCATGGTGTGAAGGGGAAGTATGTTGTTCTTCAAAGAAATTGAATCTCATATCGATGGAGGCAGCATTAAACTGTCCAAAGAAGTTTGTCCACCCACGGTGAAAGAAGGTTGTTCTTACTGTTTCGGCCATAGTAAATACTAGTTCCTAAAGAAGACACAAGGATTTGAGTTACAAGAGGAAAACAAATCACCGAATACATATGAAACTAAGAAATGGAGAAAGCAGTTGGGTCCTTTACCAGAGTTGATCCTGGCTAAGGTTGTTGCATATATATAGGAGTACAAAGTACAGGAACCCTAATAACGCGGATTGGTCCCCCACTCAACGTAGGGGCATCTATCGACGCACTTGTCAATATCGTTGATTTATCTAATAAAGTTTCGGTGGGTTCGACCGTTCAACTTGCCCCCAACAAAGCTGATAGCATAAGCATAGCTAGCTCACACAGTCGGCTCGTCGGATTTCCCCCAACACAACTTGAGCCCAATCTAAAGAGATTTTTAATAATTCAATAGCCATTTTCGATATCGAGTTAACCTCAGTTAAAAAAAAAAGTCAACAATTTAAATATGGATGTTACTTGTGTTGAAGTCATGGGTGCTGGGGGCCTAACCCGAATTAAATTTAATAATTTGGGTTCAACTTAGAAAACTATTTATATTTTGGACAATCCAAATATTGGACCAAAAAGAATTTAAATGCAAATTATTCAACATAAATTCTAAAATATAAGGATGTGCACTACTAGAGTTGAAGGCTTTGAATTTAAGTTTGAGTTCAGGTTGAATTACGACTAAAAACTTTATAATTTGCCTCGAATCTGAATTATTCATAATCGAATTGAGCCTGAATTATTCATAATTAATTTTCATATCGCATGAGTCCCGGCACAAAACGCTTGGGAGAGAGTGACACTATGAAGAGAGTGACACTAAGAACTAACTTTAATAATGTGATTTTCTTTGGAAAGTTACTAAATTAATCATATATTTTTCTTAAATAATCATTTTAATCCTTCCAAACTTCTATAAATACAATGAAGTCATATTTTTAATAATTTATTCCAAAAACTTCATAATCTCATTATGTAATTTTTTTTCTTTTAAGATACTAGCTATTGTGCACTTACGTCATTTTGAACTACAATTTTAGTATTTTCATAATTCACATACGTATGTATTAGTAACATATGTTGTTTAACTAATATTAATCACTAGTTTATGTTGACTAATTAATACAAGAACCCTTGTGGATGGTAACAAAGACAATTATATATTTAAGGGAAAATTACTCTCTTAGAAATTAATTTTTGATTAGTAGTTCAAAACCATTTTGATGTCAAATGCCACTCTAACTACCCAGCACCTTTCCCTCCATAAAAAAAGCTCTGACCCAACACAACTAATTATTCTCACTGGTCTCGTTTGGTTGTCTTAGAGTAAAAGAAAGGATTGTATTAGTTACTGTGGTCTAATTCTTTGTACGCAAATAAAATATAAGATTAAATATGAGATAAAAATAATACTCATTGTAATCCAATATTTGATAAGACACTGGATAAGAGTGGGATATTAGAGTATTAATTACATATTAACTAAAAAATCATCAATCTAATCTAGTTATGCATGCTTTTGTTTAGTTGGAAGGTAAAATAATAAAATATAATGTAATACAATTTTATTGTAATATAATACTACATCTTCATGTGGTATTAAAATTAGATTAATAATACGGATAAAATATATTATTTGTATACCTATTTTTTACGTATACGAAATAAGACTTATGCTCCGTTTGGTATGGAGGATAGAAAGTAAGAAAGATGAAAATAGGAGGGATACACTTTCTATCCTTCAAGGATGGAAAGTAGGAAGAATACAATTTCCTTCCTTTGTGTTTAGTTGGATGGATGAAAAATAAAAATGACTATTTTTTTTTTGTGTTTGCTAAGATTAGGGGTGATAATAGAGTCGAGTCGTGTCATGTCAGATTCGTGTGGAGTCATTACGAGTTTGTGTCGAATATTAGTCAAACCTAACTTAACTCATTTAACTAATTGTGTCATGTCGAGTTGCGAGTTGACTTATTTATTTTCGTATCGAGTTCGAATCGTGTCATCGTGTTGAGTCGAAAATTTTCACCCTTAGTTAAGATGGAAAACATATTTTTTTTTAACTTTAAATTTTTATTTTTTAATTTTCTTAATTTTTAATTTTTTTTAAATTAATTTTTAAATTTTTTAAAAATATATATACATATTTTACCATTATATTTTTATATGAAATTAATGTATACATAAGATATATAAACAAATAAGGTACATCTTAACACAAATAATTAACTTTTCATCTACTTTCCTTCCGATTTTGGAAAGATTGATTTTGGTGAGTTTGAAGGAAAGTTAATACATTCACTTTTTCATTCTTCATATTTTTCTTCCTTACCAAATATAATGTTTTATTTATCCCTCTAACTTTTTATCTTTTTAACTTTTCATCCTCTTACTTTTCCATCGTACCAAATAAAACATAAATATAATAAAATATTTTTAGTAACCAAAACCCATTGAATTTTAAGCTTTTGCGTTTTCTTGAGACCGGCTTAAGTTGACTTACCCAAAAGAACTGATTAAAAATGACCATAAAAGACCACGGTGTCACTTTCGAAGATACCATGAAGTCTCCCACGGCACCTTTGTTTCAAACATATGTCACCTTTGTTTATGTTGCGTATGTTATGATGTATGTTTATGTGTAACAAAGGTACCCACTTTGTTTATGTCGGGGATGTTATGATGTATGTTACACATGCCTTTGTTTATGTCGGGTATGTTATGTGGGGTATGTTGTGATGTTTGTTACACATACCTTTGTTTATGTCGGGCATGTTATGATGTATGTTTATGTGTTACAAAGGTACCCACTTTGTTTATGTCGGGTATGTTATGATGTATGTTTATGTGTAACAAAGGTACCCACATTGTTTAGTAATTATGAATTTTTAAATTTTATTTTGTTAATTTGAAAGTAAACGTGTTCGAAATTAACCTTCTAGTTCTGATAAAAAAAAAATTAACCTTCTAGTGACTTTTATTTTTTTGCGAGAATTTGTCTCTATTTTTGTTTGATTCTAAGGTTTATTATGCGTCAATCAATTTTTAATTTTTTTTTATTATGTTTAGTTTTTAGATTTTCGTTTAAGTGTCTTTACTATTCTAATATCTTAGTAATAATATTTGAAAGATAGTTTATCGATTAAATTAAATGGATGATCGGTGGATAATTGAGATAGCTTTTTAATTGCACAATAACAATTAATCTCACATTTTTTACAATGGCGATGATTGGTGATCTTTATAAGTAGACACATAATATACATTTATTTAATATTACAGCTATTAAGTTAAATTTTTAATTTAAAAAATCACTACAATGATTAAAATTAATCTATTTTTTTTATCTATTTTAATCCAATGATATAAAATTATTCCAATTTTTTTTTTCACTCAAAAATATCATATTTTATGCAGGACTCCCAATATGAGATAACTCAATCAACATACTCTCTAATATTAGACAACAACGCCAATCTGCACCTATAAATTGAGAACATACTCCTTAATGTTTGACAACGACGCTAAACCGTGGATTTTTTTTTTTTTTTTTTGATTATGCTAAACTGTGGATTCAAGTGGGGTCTATTGTATTTAAATTGATACCTTACTCATTCATTAATGATAAGCATTTTTTGTTAAAAAGGAAAATTGAGAAAACAAAAAGTATTAAAGGGCATCTTGGTTTGTTATTGGCTCTGACAATCATGGAAACTTTCCGGTAATTGCGAAAGAAGCTGGGAGGACATGGCCACTAGACTAAAGTTTCCTCAACTCTAGGGGTGCAACTTGGGTGCCAAACCCAAATTTAACTCGAATTAAATTAAAAAAAAAATATAAAGTTCAGGTTGAGGTTTTTAGGGTTAGGATTGAAAAGTTTCTACTCGAATTAAATTAGAACAAAACTTGGGTTAAGAGTTCAGATTCACGAGGTTAATCCGAACTCAATTCAAATTGATAAATCGGGCTCAACTTAAATTATTATATTATTTTTATATAAATAATATAAAAATAAAATATAAATACATATTTTGTAATTATTATTATTTAAAGGGAAAGTAAATTAAAATTTATAAGGACTATAGATGGTGAAAGAAATTTACACAACTGATGTGAGATAAGTCAAAAAGGCAAAAAAAAAAAAAAACAAGGAGTTATCATCCCACATCGGATGGACAATTCAAATGACCTCTCCATTCTCTCATATATAAAGAAGGCTCACTCTTGTTTCCTTAATAAGTTTTCTTGATGTCTTTCATTTTAGTGAGTCATATAAATCTATGTAATAGTCCAACATTATACAAAAACTCACACTTAATTTAAAATTATTGTTTGTTGAGCCCGAATAAGCCCAAATTGAGTAACTCGATTTCAACCAAAGCTTGCTTAAAATCAAGTTAAGCAATACTCAAGTTGAAGTAGGGTTAGAATTATGATTAGAATTGAAGATTTTATATTTAGGATTGAGTTAAGATTAATCTCTCAACTCGTGCCAACCTTGCCCAAGTTGCACCCCTACTCAATTTTTAGTGGTGGTTCACTAGTTGAACATGATCTTTGATAACCTAGAGGTCCCAACCATGTTGCACTCCTACTCAATTTTTAGTGGTGGTTCACTAGTTTAGCATAATCTTTGATAACCTAGAGGTCTCAAGTTCAAATCCAGCCTACACCCCATGAAGGCTAACCACTCTTGTCTTTTTAGGAGCTATTTGGTAAAGGGGTATTAAGGGGATGGGTTTGGGAAAAATAGTCCAAAGATCCCCAAATCTCATGTTTAGATTGAAAATTCAATCCTGAGTTCTTAAACCTGGCTTGTAGTTGGCCCAAATACTAAACCCACGATCATGAGTTTCATCAAACCTAGAAGGGAGGTGGGTTTGGAAAGATAAGTTAAGGGATTAAGGATAAAAAAAACAATTATGCCCCTTAACATAGGTATAAATTGGATTGATCAAGGGTAAAATAGTCATTTATAGGATAAATAGTTGTTAATAATTATGATATATCCGTGAGTCTTACATGTATATGTGTTACATACCAAACATGAGTATAGATCGGATTCAATGTTGAACTCATCTTTGTAA